GAGACAGGTCCGGCCATCCTGGAGGACTATCTGAAACATGGTGCCCATCCCTCAGAGGAGACAGGTCCGGCCATTCTGGAGAACTATCTGAAACATGGTGCCCACTCCTCAGAGGCGGCAGGATGAGCACACTCGGGTGCTGTAGACTGGAGTCAGCAGTGCAGTCAGAATGTGGACAGGTGTGAGGGGACGCATAGGTAGATGACAGCCCACATCCGGTCCCTGAATCGGCCTATGGCAAATGTGAGGGACAGTCACCCAAAATCAACGTGTCAGAACCATTCTGGCAGCCCAATACCACGTGACCCCGTGGAAGAAATATCATACCAACAGGCAAGAGCAATCTTCTGACCAGGCCACCTTCCTGGAACCAGGACCCAGACACTGGGGTCCTGAAAAAAACCTCACAGGCACGAGCCCAGAAGGTCCTCAGGGCAGCTAGTTGAACACACACAGAACAGAGGACCAAAGAGTAGCTCAAAGAGAAGAAATGGGATGAGGCACCTCTCGCCCACCATCCTGCCCGGCAGATGGCACTGCCAGCCCCAGACATGCCCAGGTTCCAAAAAAAAAACCAAACCCATTGCCATCGAGTCGATCTGACTCATAGCGACCCTACAGGACAGGGCAGAAACGCCCCATACTGTTTCCAAGGAGCAGCTGGTGGATTCGAACTGCCAGTCTTTTGGTTAGCAGTGGTAGCTCTTAACCACTGCACCGCCAAGTACCAAAGGAAGGCTTAAAAACATCAAGGAAGTCACTTCAGAAAGCGGGACCCTCTGCGGCACAGGGCAAGAGCAAGGGTCTCCCTTGCCCAAGTCCAAGGGTGATACAGGCTGTTGATCTTTAATAAACACACCCAAACTCCATCGGAGCGACTGCTTCCAGAGGACCCTGCTGTGACAATAACTGACTAGCGAAATTACTTACAATAATCGTAAATTATTTAACTGAGTAACAAAAGCAAAACTATGTCACTCCCTGGGGTACCATTTTGACTCTTGGCCTTTTCAAACATTTATTTACAAGCTTAAGAAATGAAACAGTATTTTCCAATTACTTGAATCTACAGAAATCTTCCACAGCTTTCGATTTTGAATTTTCTATTGAATGTTTTTAAATGAAACTGGTATATGTTTCTATTTATATGTGACCTATGAACGATTTTTACATTTTTAAATGGTTAAAAAAACAAAAATAATATTTTATGACATGTAGAAACTGTATGAAATACAAACTTTAGCACCCATAAATAAAGTTTTATCGGAACCAGCCACACCCATTCATTTACACACTGTCTATGGGTGTAGCAGAATCTGGTAGTTGCAACAGAGACCTATGGCCCATAAAGCCTAAAATACTTACTCTTCAGTGGTTTAAGAAAAAGGCTGCAGACGCCTGAGCTGAAGAGAAGCTAGAAGATCCCTGGATGGAAATCAGATTGCTAGACTCAGGGTTTCAACCATGACTTTAGTTTTCTGAACTTTCGTTCAAGCCACTATCCTGACCTCAGAAGCTCCTCTCAACATTCCCTCTGCTTTCTTCCACTGTCAAGGCCCTGTTCAATTTCACGTTGGCTATGAGGCCTTCCCTGAGCCATTGCAGCCTGAAGGGATTCCCTCCAGACCCTGAACCCCTACAGCAAGTAACACCTACATAGGGCAGCTGAGGTTACTAAATCCTGTAGAGTTTGCAATATCACTGCTTTAAACTGCCCAAATTTCTGTTGTTTTTAATTCTGAATATAAACATTCTGCTTATGTCACTACCTGGACTAGATTATTAAACTACTTGAGGGCAGGCACTGTGCCTCGCACGTCTGTGAACCCAGCACAGAGAACTGCAACCACCAGCAGTAAGAGTCTGACGAGCTCAATGTTTCATATGATGTCTGTATCTGCACGTTGTCACGTGAGGCATGCACCCCTGCTCTCTACTGTCTTACTCCCTGGTGCTTTGTCCCCCTGGGCTGTGAAAACATGGTTCTGCAGTCCTCTAAGGCGTGGACCCTTTAGAAGTCAAATGAAGCTGGCTATGTAGGAAGCTGCATACCAGGTAAAGGAATAACTTTTCAGGCCCTTGTTCAAACAGGAAATGAATATTCAAGCTAATTCCTGGTAAATCCAGAGGGTCTGAAAAGAGCTGTAGGCAGTGGATGAGCAAAGGATCAAGGGTAATAAGTGGATTTTCTGAGTGCCCCTTGCTGGCAGGGAATGTGGTAGGTCTTCTGGAAGGGCTGAGGTCCAGTGAGCAGTGAAAAGCAGGCAGCACATTTCAGCGTGAAAAAATCCTGCATCCCAAAATCGTAAGTGACACTGGGAATATTCACTGTGGAAATCTGAGCCAGCGCAATTTTCATTTTCCTTTCTCTAGAAATGAAACAAACAAAAAAACTATAATCTCTTAGGGATATTATAATATGCTTACAAAGTATTAGGATATTTCAGGTGACAGAGAAGAAATACGAATCAATCTGCAAGGTAACATTCTCCCCAAAGTTTCTGAGCAGAGAGGGGGCTGAACTAAAAGTGTGATAACCTCCAAAAGTGACCAAGGACCCAGAATGCCCAGGAGTTGGAGTAGTCGGCCATGATAACACAGTTAGTCGAAGAGCACTTACATCAGTTCTCACCTGGAGGGGATGGGGGCAGGCTGAGAGGGAGGGAAATGAGGGCAGGAAGAGGGCAAAGCTCACTCCTAGCTCATCATTCGGTAAACAGCACACACACTCTGGAATACATCATGTCTAGTAACTTACAGTGCAATGAAAAGGGGACCGTTTCAGGAATCAGATGTGAATTAAGAAGCCAGTTAGTAAATACATTGGAAAACTGCATTTCCAACAGTGACAATAAAGGTAAAATGCCTAAGAATAAACTTGCCAAGACACATATAAAACCATACACGGAAAATGTTAAAAAGCTACTAAAAGCCATAAAAGCCATGAACAAATGGAAAGCTGTAACTTGTTCTTAAATGAGTATCACATTATAAACGTGACAATTTGCCCTGAACTAATGATTCCAGAGTAGTCAGGAAAATTCTGATTAAAAAGGAGTAAGTAATAAGGAAGGAACTAATCCTATCACATATTAAAAAATATTATAAAGCACAGTAATTAAAACTGCTTTGTTTTGATGCATTAACAGGGAAGTGAAATCAATGAAAGAGAACAGGAAATTCAGAACAAAACCGAACAAATGTGGAAATTTAGTATATGGTAAAGGCAGCACTTCAAATGTGTCGGGGCAGGTAGAGTAGTCAATAAAGGGGTTGGACGACTAGCTAGCCATTAAAAAAACAAAATCCATACCTTACTTCTTATACCAAAATAAAGTCCAAATATTTTAGATATGAATATAAAAACTAAAACTATAAAGTACTATAAAAATTCATGTTTTTAAGATGTAACTTTGTTAAAGTGGAGAAACCAGGCAGATAACACCAGAACCAAGTGATCAAGGTTAGCATCACCAGAAATAACCACATTGCTACTGTGTATCCCAACATGATGCTCCAAAAAGGAAACATTACCTCTGTGGTCTTTCTTCCAAAAATCCAGCACCTCAATTTAATCCTGATGAAACATGAGACAAACCCAAATTGAGAGGCATTTTACAAATCACCTGACCAGTACTCTTCAAAAGAATCAAGGTCATGAAAGACAAGGAAAGACTAAGGGACTTTAACAGATCAGAAGAGGCTAAGGAAAAATAAGTGCAATGCAGGATCCTGGAACAGAATAAAGACACTAATGGAAATGTTGGTAAAATCCAAGTAACATCCGTCGTTCAGTTAGCTGCAATGTACCCATGCTAATTTCTTAGTTTTGACAACTGTACCATAGTTAGGTAAGATGTTAACATTATGTAATGTTAGGTTATGTAATGAAGCTGGGTGAAGAGTGTACCAGAACTCTTTGTACTATCTTTGCAACTCTTCTGTAAATTTAAAATTATTTCAACATAATAAGTAAAAACACAAAAGTATGTGCGTGTGTAAAAAATTAATACAAATAAAAGATCAATACAAATACACCATATATGATAAACAAAAGGCTACTGTCCTTAATGTGATGATTAATTTTATGACTCCGTTTGGCTAGGTCAAACACTCGCCTAGATGTTGCTCTGACAGTTACAAGTGCTTAGCATTTAAATCGCTGGCCTGAAGTAAAGCAGACTACCCTCCAAAATGTGGGTGGGCCTCCTGCAGTTAGTTGAAGGCCTTCATTTCCTATGGGAGAATTCTGCCTCCAGACCATAAACAGACATTTTGCCAGAACTCCTCTGCTCCTCTACCTACAGACCTCTGGACTTGGGACACAAGACGGACAGAATTGCCAGCTTGTTGCATGACATACAGATTTTGGACTTGCCGGTCCCCTATTATACGACCAAATTCCTCAAAATCTCTATGTATCTATCTACGTATCTACCTAACTACCTATTACCTATCTTACTGGTTCTGTTTCTCCAGAGAACCTAAGACACTTAATACGTAAGTGTATCTGTCAAATCAAAGAAACAACACAATCCAAAATGGCAAAAATCATCAACTGACAATTTAGAGAGAAAAATGTCAGGTTAAGATGAGACGGCTTATTTTACCTACGAATTTGGTAAAGCTCCAACTATTTAATTACAAGAAGTTGTCAACAGTGTAGTGAGAACTGGCGTTCCCATCTTTCACCGTTACTGGGAATAATAATTAGGATATCCTTTAAACAGCTCAATCCAGCTCTACGATTTTTTTCCAAGTTTGAGCTTTTTTATCCTAATTTTTAAAAATATATTACTACACAAAGGTGACCTCTGAATTTCAATAAACATAAATATAACACTCTCATTCAAAGTTTAGCCAATTTCTCCAAGAGCTTCTAATGAAAGGACTTAAATTATTCAGAATTCACCTTCAATTTAAGGTTTAATAACAGAAAGATAATTGAGTAACATCTACAAAATGCCGCGGGGGGGGTTAAATTAATACTTTTATTTTCATTATCCCGTTTTCACAACACTCAGGGGACACCGCACTCCTGTCAGGAGTGATGGAAAAATTCAGGAAGGGTGATGGCTGAACAAGTTTAATGTCACTGAACCACCCATGTGAAGACCGCTGAAATGGTACGTTTTGTCACCTATATATCAGCAAAATTTAAAAAAATCGTTTTAAGTACACACACTCACATATATTTGAACATGTACATAATGACGTATGTATGAGGAAATTCACCGCAGCATTGTTTCTGATAGCATCAGATTAACAAAAACATTAATGTTCTTCAATTAAAAACCAGTAAAATTATACCACATCGAGACCAAAACAAACAAAACGGACAGCTCTTAAAGAACGATGTACCTTAGATATGTTAACGTGTTAACACAGAGCTTCCATCACAGACATGTTCCATTACACTTAGAACTCGTTTTGCTATGAAAAATGTGAACTTAAAGGAACACGGATCCAAGTTCGAGTCCCAGGAAGAATCCAAAGAGTTTGCAACTGCCTCTGCTGATGACAGTTTTTGCTAAATAAGGTCTGTCAAAACATATTTGTAAAACGAATGCTTAAAAAAAACGTGTTCGGCATGGAATTGTGTCCCCCAAAAATGTGTGTCAACCTCGCTAGGCCACAATTCCCGATATTGTGTGGCTGTCCTCCATTTGTGATCTGATGTAATTATCCTAAACCAAAAAACTCAGTGCTGTAAAGTGCTTTAGGAATTCTCGGGTAAAATATTTGAGAATTATTTTACTTAACACATGCAATAAAATCTTTATTTTAGAAATTATCTATAAAAAGTATTTTTAACTAAGTTACTTACGTAACTTCTTTAAAGTTATAGAAGTTGTAGTTTAAAAATATTCTTTTTGTTTGTTTGTTTTTGACCAACCACCCCTTCGTGACAAAAGGCTAGCTCATTTTATTTATTTATTTTTATTTAAATTTTTTTATTGCGCTTTAGGTGAAAGTTTAGGGGGCAGATTAGTTTCTCATTAAACAGTTAATACACAAATTGTTTTGTGACATTGGCTGCCAAGCCCACGATGTGTCAACACTCTCCCCTTCTCCACCCCGGGTTCCCTGTTTCTGCTGTCCTGTTTTCCTGTCCCTTCCAGCCTTCTCGTCTTTGCTTTTGGGCTGGTGTGCCCATTAGTCTCCTATATGTGACTGAACTATGAAGCACGTTCCTCACACGTGTTACTGTTGGTTTTATGGGCCTGTCTAATCTTTGCCTAAAGGGTGAACCTCAGGAGTGACTTCAGTACTGAGGTAAAAGGGTGTCTGGGGGCCATACTCTCGGGTTTCTCCAGTCTCTGTGGGACCAGTAAGTCTGGTGTTTTTTTGTGAGTCTGAACTTTGTTCTACATTTTCATCCAGTACACAGCTATTTTAACCAATACTTTTCTAATAGAGACGCTCCCAATGGCCCTGCAGTAGAACTGAGCGTAAGGCATCCCACTTACCTGCCCTGCACCTCCTGGAAGGTAACTCTGCTACCTGGTGCCACCGTTCCTCTTTAAAGTCATAGCACTCCACACTCCGGATAGCCTTTGGGGCTTGGCCTCCGACCACCACCATCAACTGGAAGGCAGAAACGTGAGCACTTGAACCAACAGCTACTGCACGTTCAGGGGTGCAAATGTCCTACAAAGACACTGGTGTGGAGAGTGCTGGGGTGAAGGTGGGAGGGTCAGTGGGGAAAACCACCACCTAGCCAACACTTAATAAACATCAACAAAGGGGGCACATGTTAGAACTAAAGGTCTGCCATCTAGCACAGTTAGCAAAAATAAGGATGTCAGAAACTCTGATCCTTCAAGCAAAAGCAGAATTTAAGCCAAAAAACAGCAGGCAGTGAGCACTGGCAAGGCTGTGGTACGTCACAGTGCTTGCTATAAAATCGATTCTGGTTTTGCAATGACCAGAGATTCAATCTCCACAAACTAGGAGAGCAGAGAGAAATGAAATTTATGTTAGTGGGTAGGTGAGGTGAAAGGCGCAGTAAGGTATTAAAAGAAAGATAAAAGAAGCAGGGGAAAAAACCTATGGAAAAAGGAGGAGTGACTGAACTGGAGTTCACAAGAAAGCACAGATTCCTTGATCTCAAGTAAAGAGACCTCCCTTGAAGCCCCACAAATAAAACAGCCAAACAGGAGACAGGAGACATCAAAATGAACAAATGCACAATAGTCTAGTGCTGAGAATGAACGAGGTCTACGAGTTTCATCAATTCAGCTCAATCCAGCCGTTATTTACTAAGTGCCTGCCACCTGCATCTGTACAGAACTGAGCCAGGTGCTCTACCTGAGAAATACAAGACACAGTCTCTACCCTCCCAGAACTTACAGATCTCACCGAAGAGACAAGATCCATGAAGCAATTCAAGAACAGTATACAATTATATCTGATCAGACAGCTATATGAATAGTTCATTAATGCTCCTGCTTATCAGAAAACAGAAGTTGCTATAATTTAGTGAAAGTATTTTGGAGGGGGTGGAACCTAATCAAAGGACGGAATTTAGACACCAATGGGTCTGTCTTTTACTGGGTGCATATGGGCACCCTCTGGCAACACTGAAAACAGATGTCAAATCAGAACATAAATGTTAATGATGTCTCATATGGAAAAACTGTAAAGAAAGGTAAGGCTCTTTGGGGAGAGATGAGATGGTGACAGGAAAAACAGATGTTGAAAAGAAAAAAAATCAAAACAAACAGAACATGGAGTAACTCATACAAACAGAAAGGAGAGGTTTGCAACCCTGCCTGAGCAACGACCTACATGTACTTAGAACTATAACCATGGGTACACAGAACACATGACTCCTGAATCTGAGCAAATCCCAAGTTTCCAAAAAGAAGTCTATTTTAGTAATTTAGTAACTGGGGAATAGAAGGAACATTAAAGGTCTTAAAAAGAAGACTGGACATAGACCAAATATGCCACATTTCAGGTCTGCATTCTTCTGCTGTTGAATGCAAATGAATAAAAGGAAGAATTAACAGAGAAAACATACCAATACCAATCCTTCCTACCACCAATGGGAAAAAAGGAAGGGGTTTAAGGTTGTAAAATCACAAAGGTAGAATGCACAGTAAGATCAATATTGTGCTTAGGAGTTTGTGTAGGATCTGTGTTCAAAACTTTCAAACCCTGCCCAGCAGAGTTAGACAACAGTTGAACGAGTTCAGGATAATGTACCTGATGATGATCAAATTAAAAAAAATCTCCGAAGAGAAACTTAAAAAAAATCTACGAGAAACAATATTGACTTACAGATTTCATGATTTTCAAAGTATGACTCTCACACTTTCCATGCAGAAGTTCACATTTGCACATGGAGGACGGAAAGGAAATGTGCTCCTAAATACAGAGAATCAGCAATATTTGTCCTTTACTCGCCCGACAGAGTCAGATGGGAGGAGATTTGGGACTTCAGGAACCAGGCATAACGGGGACAAGGTAGAATACACCACAAGGGGACAGGAAAACGAGGATATTTGTATGAGATCAAGAGACTGCTAGGAAACCCTGTGTGGTTACCACTGAGAGGGCTGCTGAGAACTCTGACCCCCAGCTATTTCTAAAACCCACCTGGTGTCATCTGAGAAACTCCATACTAATTGTGCTAATATAGAAGATGTAGAAAAGTGGAAAGACCCTTTGTATGGAGAAGTCAAATGTAACGTACTTGCGGAGGGCAAAGAGTAAGGAGTTAAGCAGATTCAAGAGGGGCAGTGGTAGTTCAGTGGTAGAACTGTTGCCTTCCATGCGGGAGACCAGGGTTTGAGTCCGGTGCACGTCACGAGCAGCTTGGGTGTTACTATGGTGCTGAACAGGTTTCAGCAGAGCCTCCAGACTAAGCTGAACTAGGAAGAAAAGTCTGCCCGTGTACTTCCAGAAATCAGCCAGTGAAAACCCTATGGATCAGAACAGTCCTCTCCCAGTATGCACGGGGCGCCATGAGTCAGGAGCCAGCTCTGTGGCAGCTAACAACACCCCCCTGAAATGTAGGCCAAGTACATCCTCAACAGGTAGGTAAGGATGAAGGAAAGATTAATATCTCACGCTTACAGATTGCATACTGTTTCAGTTTCTTCACCTACTGAAGAAATATTAATTAAAAATTGCATCCTGGAAAATCAAGCTTCGTGATTTTCCATTTGGAAATCTCAGTAGACACATACTGGGTAAAAATACAGGAAGATACATGCTCAGAAATATGACAGCATTTGTAAAAATACAGATTCCAAAGAGAAAAAGAATATTAAAGTACAATAGAAAAAAATAGTTTTACACTACGTTTAAATCCAAAGGCGCCTTACGCAATCCCGATACTGCCTACTGAGAAGGCAACAGTAATGTCTGGGCTGTAACAAGAATCATTCATGCACATTCGTACCAGTCCACAGAATCGGAGCCTAATGTGAAAGTACTGAGTCACTGTTGCGTTAGAAATAATATCAAGGCCTTACAGTGCTTCCCTCAGCACTACTACCACGCTTTGTCCAAGTCGACTCACTGTTGTAAAAGGCATCAGTGCTCGGAAGTATTGAGTATGAGAAACTAATCCTTCCTTCTTTCTCATGTACCTCCTTAGAATTAATCTTGACTATATCTCTCTAAAACGACAAACGGTGTCACCGAAAGAGCATCCAACACAAGCAACTCCGCAAAATCACATGAGGAGAAACAAACTTGGAGAAGGGGCCGTGCGGGTGGAACACGCAACGTTAAAGCAACAGCTGCTCCTTGTTATTCACCAGGTCGGCTTCCCCTCCTTCTCAGCCTTTCTGATGGAGGAGAATAAGAGAGAACCTTCATGAATCAGTACACTCATTACAAAAAAAACAGCAAAACAACCGAGAAACCCAAAGGATAACATGACTGGAAAGGCTACTCCAATGCCACAGCCAGAGAAGCCCAGAAACAATGTAAACTGAACAGACAACCACAACTCTATAAAAGAGAGGAAAAAAAAATACTTGACAGGATTTTATGAGGAACTCTTTCGAAGGTTTTCAAAACGGCATGTTTATTCCAGAAATTAGATGTAGATTAGTTTCTACTGTAAAGGTCTGCAACAAAGCTAATGACAGCAAAGCCAAAGATGCCAGAAGAGGGGTTATATAAGAGATTTTTTTTACAAATATGAAATGTTTACAAAGTATTAAAGATAAACTATTCAGAAAAAAGTTGGAAAGACCAGCGTAAGAGAAATGGTAACTTTAAGTGGGCCAAGACTCTGGACATTTTTTATCAGCCTATTATTTGCAAGAACAAAAACTGACACCACATAATAAGGACAAATAAGAAGTAATGAAGACTTACAAAGACGGCTACTCACAAAAGCAAGCGAAAGGGTGTTTGGAAACGTGAACATTTATGAAATCAGCAGACCCAGACGATACACACACGAAGGTTCTGAGAACTAACTAACGTACTTACGGAGCCACTTACAATTATTGTTGAAAAATCTTGGAGAACTGAGGAGAGATCAGAAAATTTAAAAAAGGCAAATACCAATTTCCGAAACAGGCTAGGAAGTGAATGCCTTGTAAATAACTTTTGTTAAAGGACAATAATTCTCAGTAAGAATTTAGAATATTTTGATAAAAGTGTTCAAACCTTGAGAGGCCAACAAAATGAGAAGGAACAAGCAAAGGACTGTTACAAAAATCACATCAAATATGAATCCACTCGATCCTGAATCGCACTGGGTATTAAACGCCAAAATACTTATTTTTGGCTTGAATAATCCACATAATCACATGCACTGACTACAAATGGACTGTGTCCGTGGTGAGTATTTCTAACAAGCGGTCACCAGAGGGAGTGGTGAGGGGCACTCTGAAATATTTACTGATGATCTAGAAAAGAGAGGAAATAGCAGGCTGGCAAAATCAGCAGCTGATTCTAAGTTGAAAACTGTTGTCCACACTGGACAAAACAGAAAAACAATACCAATACAGGTTGGAAGCAATTAAAAATGTGGACTCCAGAAATAACACTTGGAAAAACGTTAAATAAAAGTATTAAAGTGAAAGAATTTAAAAGACATCATTCAATGAAAAGGAGAGAGAACAGTAACTGAAGCTGAAAGATATAAGAAAGCAATGGACATCAGATTAATTCTTATTTCTTACTCCATCACTGCCTCAAACACACAGAAGAGTGCATCAATAAAACCATTCTAGAAGAAGTCACTCCGGTGAGATGACACGCCAAGTGGTGCCTAAAGCGTTAGTACCGCAAAGATGCAAACAGAGCAGAAAGAACTGCAAAGAGAGATGCGGAAATGAGGGGTTATTTTGAAAGAAAAATTAAATCAGTAAAACATGAACGGCTTCAACTAAAACGAGGAGGTGGGATATGAACTTCAACACAAGAAGACATGAACATGAGAGACACGGGAAGACATGGGAAATCTATGCTCAAATGGCTACAGGCGTCGCGTGGGTGAACCACCAGTGGAATACAACAGGGAACAGCAAGCAGATGAACTGACCAGTATTTTATCACCCTCAGTCGTAATATGTAATTCTATGAACCACTGGGTCTCTAGTTATACAAACACCTAATCTGCAAAGAAACCTTTCTATATAATCTGACTTTCTTCTTTCTGTCGTGACTAGAGAGCCCTTGGTTTGCACAACTGGTTAAGTACTGAACTACAACCTAAAAGGTGGGTGGTTTGAACCCACCCAGAGGCGACTAGGAAAAAAGGCCTGGCCATCTGCTCTCAGAAGGTCACAGCCTTGAAAACCCTATGGAGCAGTTCTACTCTGGACACGTGGGTTCGCCAGAGTCAGAACTGACTCAATGGCAACTTTTATTTTTATTATAACTAGAAGTAATAAAACTCGTAACGGACCAAAACCAGTCACTTTCTGTTTCAGAAAAGTGACATCAAGCAGCTTATAAAGATTAAGTGAACCAAACAACTCCCACCCTCAACAGACACATATAATAGAAGGGTTGAATTATATACACTACAATGAATTCTTAGGCACATTCTCTGCTGCAGGGAATCTAAAACAATAAAACAGAAATTCAGGCGAGTAAAAACAGTAACAGTTCGCGTCACAAGATGGGCCTTTCAGATGAGGTAACAAGTATGAACGACAGATCTTACCTTGGGAAGGTTCATGGGTGTCCTCAGCCGAGTCCGGACACTCTTCATTAATACACGTTGCTCTGTTGGCAACAAGTGATACTTCATAGCTTCAATGAGGTAATCTTTGCAAGCGCTGCTGTTCTTGACCAAGGCTTCCTCTTCAACCCTCTGAAAGAAGAAATCAAACACACTCCATGGGGGAACTGCAGTTTTATAGTAAAACTGACAAAGAAACAAGTAAAGAGAGAGAAAATAAATAAATAAATAAAAAGGAATTACTATCCTCTCTAGTTCAGTCTAAAAGTACAGGAACATTAATAAATATCACTAAGGAAAATAAATTCATAAAATAATTTCATGTATCTGGCCTGCAGAGAGAAAGATACTCCAGTAATAAAGAGACAAATCGCAATGAAAAATGATATACTTCGAGGACAACCACAAAATAGGATAAACTTTAGATAATACCGTAATGATCTATGTCTGATCTTTAAACGTCAAGTCAAACAGCAGGGTAAGAACATTCAGATAATGAGCGCTTCAGGGTGACCCCGTGCGTGTCAGAGCGGAACTGTGCTCCACAGGGTTTTCCATGACTGAAGTCTTCCTTCTGAGGTTCCCCTGGGTGGACTTGAACTGCCAACCTTTCAACCGACGGTCAAGCATATTAACTGTTTGCACCCAGGGACTCTTACTTGTAAATTAAAGACACTTTTTCAAACACAAGAAGGCAAACAAAATATCCAGGGAAAAGATATAAAAAATTTTTAAATAATGTTTCTACAACTACAAACAAAGTCCTGTCTTGTCCTTGCTATACCTGACCTCAGAAGCAGAAGATTTTTGTTAGTTCATTTTTTTAACAACAGAGGACCCATAATTATTCAGATCACAGATAATGAAGTTTCAAGTAATCTTAAAACACTCAGATCTAATCTCTTAATAAAGACATGTTTCTTTAGACAGCTTCAATTACAAAAGAAGGATGCTAAAATAAAAGAGTAAATTTAAAATTGTCCTAGGAAAAACTAAAGAACCACTTACTCCTATTCATTTCCAATGACCTGATTTTCCTCAGCTTAGAAATAAAGATAAATCACCAAATGTTTGCCACTGTGAAATTATAAAGTAGAACTGAACAGCTGCTGTTGTTGTTGTTAGATACCATCGAGTCAGTTCCGATTCATAGCGACCCCACGGACAACAGAACGAAACACTGCCCAGTCCTGTGCCATCCTCACCACTGTTGCTATGCTTGAGCCTATTGTTGCAGCCACTGTGTCAATTCATTTATCGAGGGTCTTCCTCTTTTTCGCTGACTCTATGCTTTACCAAACATGATGTCCTTCTCCAGGGACCGGTCCCTCCTGGTAACGTGCCCAAGGTACATGAGATGAAGTCTGGCCGTCCTTGATTTTAACGAACATTCTGGCTGTACTTTTTCCAAGACAGATCTGTTCACTCTTTTGGCAGTCCATGGTATATTCAGTATTCTTCACCAACACCACAATTCAAAGGTGTCAATTCTTCTTCGATCTTCCTTATTTGTTGCCCAGCTTTCACATGCATATGAGGCAATCGAAAATACCATGGCTTGAGTCAGGCGCACCTTAGTCCTTAAAGTGACATCTTTGCCTTTTAACATTTTAAAGAGGTCTTTTGCAGCAGATTTGCCCAGTGCAATGTGCCTTTTGATTTCTTAACTACTGCTTCCATGGACGCTGATTGTGGATCCAAGTAAAATGAAATTCTTGACAACTTCAATCTTTTCTCCATTTATCATGATGTTGCTTTTTGGTCCAGTTGTGAGGATTTTTGCTTTCTTTATGTTGAAGTGTGATCCATACTGAAGGCTGTGGTCTTTGATCTTCATCAGTAAGTGCTGCAAGTCCTCTTCACTTTCACCAAGCAAGGGTGTGTCATCTGCGTAATGCAGGTTAACGAGTCTTCCTCCAATCCTGATGCCCCATTCTTCTTCATATAGTCCAGCTTCTCAGATTATTTGCTCAGCATACAGACTGAATAGGTATGGTGAAAGGATACACCCCTGCCACACACCTTTCCTGACTTTAAACCATGTAGTATCACCTTGTTCTGTTCAAATGACTGCCTCTTGATCTGTGTACAGTATTTGGGTCAAATCTCTAAATTCCATTTCTGCAGGAGACTCAGAAGAGACTATCAAAAGAAAAGCAAGGAAAATGTAGCAGAGATGTAGAGCCATGAGCACATTTATTTATGTGTAGTTAAATGATCACCGGAGTCCCTGAGTGGTACAAAGAGTTAAGCACTTGGCTACTAACCAAAAGGCTGGGAGTTTGAATCCACCCAGAGGCACCTTGGAAAAAAGTCCTAGCAATCTACGGCAGAGAGATCACAGCCACTGAAAACCTCATGGAACACCATGGCACTCTGAAACACATGGGGTCAACTTGACGAAACTGGTTAAACCACCGCCACAAATACTGCCTCGGTACGTTCTAATACTTGCTTACCCAGATCAGAAACAGGCTGCCAGCGAACCTCTAAAGAAGGGGAGTGGCCCGGGGGGAGCACTGCCCGGGGGGAGCACTGCCCGGGGGGAGCACCACCCAGGGGGAGCACCACCCAGGGGGAGCACCACCCAGGGGAGAACACCACCCAGGGGAGAGCACCGCCCAGGAGGGAGCACCGCCAAGGACTGCAGGCGACTTTGCTGTTCTCAGTCCCACACCCTAGGATCTCCATTCTGTGGCTCTTATCACTGTGGAACCAGGATCTACAAGCTGTTCAGGCTGCCGGCACAGTTATGCATACTCATGTGTCTTGCACAGAAGTTTACCTGGACTAAATATTCCCGAGGAAGCAAAGGTAAGCGTACGTGTTCCATCAGCCGAGCCATAAACTCTTGCCGTACATCCTTGTCATGGTTCACCCAAGCTATTACTGCTTCAAATACCTTCCAGAAAATACGGGGAGAAGAAAAATAAGTAATGAGTTATGTACCAAGGCTTCTGGATAAAATATGAGACTATTTTTTACTATGCAAAGAAGACATCCAAATTTAATCCACAACTCAATTTTTTTCAAAATCCTGACTCGTGATATACTTACAAAGGCATTCACTCCCTTCCCTTTTTTCGCCCCATTCGGTATTCAGTTAGTACATTTGGTATTTAATAAGCACTTACCAAGTACATTATCTAATCTCCTCAAACTTGAGGGGTAGTTTTGATAATTTGATAACACATGATCTGTTTCACAGTTGATAAACTTTTCAAAGTGAACTTAGTTCTACTTACCTAGATTTACTTCTCAAGTCCTTTTGGAATAAGGACAGTGAAGCACTCAACATAATAAAACAAAGTGATATTCTAGAATGAAAATCATGTACCCTTATAAACTCATTTTTGGTTTGTTTTTTAAGTTTACAAAAAATGTTGGACTATGCATCTCTAAATTGAGAGTCTGAAGAGAGACTGACTCTGCATTTTCACAAGTTAGTATATTAAAATTATGAAATGTTTTATAAACTAAATAAGGGGCATTACTAACAACATATACCTATGAGAAATTAAAAAACCCGTTGCCGTCAAGTCGATTCTGACTCACAGCGACCCTACAGGACAGAAGAGAACTGCCCCATAGAGTTTCCAAGGAGCACCTAGTGGATTCGAACTGCCGACCTTTTGGTTAGCAGCCCGACTCTTAACCGCTACACCACCAGGGCTTCCTATGAGAAATCAGACAAGCTAATATGAAGACTGCATTTCATGACATAACTTCCTTCCAGACTGATGAACATATCATCTGATCATCTTTAAAAGGCTGTAGAAAACGTTTGACAATATATAAATGGTTATCAGAAGCAAAAAACAGTCATTTGATGTAGGAAAAGAGCAAGAAGCTAAAAATAATCCGCATTATAATTAACATCTCTCTTTAATTCATTCAGTCAACAGTATCTGTCGAAACAAGTGAACTAAACAGGCCGCACCCTGTCAATCCCATCTCCTATTTCTCAGCTCTTGTCTCCTCTTCTCCAACCTGTTTCCACCACCCTACATTAGATCCTTACTGCTCACTGCTAGGACTTCAACGGCCTCCTATCTGGCCCTGGCATCCATTCCAAACCCACTTCTAATCCATTCTGCACACAACCAATGTGAAGGCTAGTCTCCCAAGATAGCCCCCCAATAGATCACATCTCCCGATATTCACAGCTTTATGTAATAATCTCTCAACACTGAATCTGACCTATCCTGTATAACCCATAAAATGTGGTGGAGGCAATGCTGTATGACTTCTGAAGCTGAGTCATAAGACGTCCTGTGACTTCTATCTGGGTCTCCTGAATTGCTTGTCTGGGGCAAACCAGATGTCTTGAGGAAGTCTGACTACCTTGAGACAACTATGCTATCAGAAATACAAGCTGGCTACAGGGAGAGAAAAAGAAAAGGGAAAGAGATTGAGAGAGATGCAGCCAAGCCAGCCCAGCCCAAGAGCCAGAAAAGAAGTGGAATGGTCACCGTGGACATTCCAGACCCAGAAGACGCTGTGGGCAGAACTGAAGCCCTAGATATATGGCTCCAGCAGGACCATCGCAGACATCTCCAGCCATCTGATTTCGCTCCAGCAGAAGCCCCAGACATGGTGGTGTGGAGACAAGCTGTCCCTATCATGCCCTGCCTGAATCCTGACCACAGAACTGTGTACATGATAAAATGGTTATTCTTTTATGCTGCTAGATTTTGGGGTAGTTTGTTAGTAACGATGGATAACCAGAAAAGTCCTTAAGTATTTCTCTAATGCAGATCTTATATCACTCTCCTATTACTTAAAACTCTTTAGTGGCTCTTCATCACTAGGATAAAGTCAATCTTTATTGACTGTAACTATGGCCCAGAAGATAAAAATTCGAGGGTTCCCTCTACCCCTCAGGATAATAGCCGTAAACTCAGGGGTCCCCAGAGGCCCCCCTCTTCTGACCTGCCGGCTCCCACTACTCCCTTGAGTTCAACAATTGGCTAGAATGACTCACAGATAGTGTTCTATGTACAATTACAGTTTTATTATAGCAAACAGAACACAAATGAAGAGACGCACAGGGCAGGGTCTGGGAGGGTTCCTAGTGCAGAGCCTCCATGTCCCGTAAAGGAACGCGCCACTACCCTCCCACGTGCATCAGTGTCTGTAACCAGCCAGGAAGCCCAGGGAGCTTCCCGGCCCAGAGCCGTTGTTGGGGGTCTTATTACATCATTCAACGTCCAGTCCCTCTCCTCTGAGGTCAGTCATTATCATAAGGTTGGTATCAGGCAATGGGTCTTTCTGGCATAGTCAGCCCACACCCAACCGAAGTCATAAACCCTCAGGTGTGCTCTGGCGTCCTCCTCAAAGACACCTCAATCATTGGGGAAATTCCAAGGTTTTAAAGGTCATCTCTCAGGAACCAAGGACAAAGGACAAATTCTTTTGGCAAAGCTAAGCCCCATACCATCTGATCTCCTACCGCTCTCCCAAACATATTCTAAACTCCAATCATACTGGACCGACAGAATGCAATTATTCTTCCACATCTCTTTACGATCTATTCCCTCTCTGGAATGCCCTTCCTATTCCCACCCCTCCTTATCTCTCTGGCAAACTCATACTTATTTTTAAAGACTTAGATCATACATCTGACCCTAGTTAAACTCCCAACCCCATCCCAGGAATAAAACGTTAACTCCTCCGTGTTCCTAAGAGTATCCGCTACAGTACTCTGTAACCGTTTATTTACCCTACTGGCTATCCCTCTAAGGACCCCTGGTGGTGCAGTGGTTATGCGCTTGGCTGCTAACTGAAAGGTTAGCGGTTTGAACCCACCAGCCGCTCCACGGTAGAAAGATGTAGCAGTCTGCTTCCATAAACATTATAGCGTTAGAAACCTCACGGGGCAGTTCTATTCTGTCCTATAGGGTTGCTATGAGTCAGAATCGACTTGACGGCAGTGGGTTTGCTTATTCCTTTAGTTTAAGAGTAAGAAATGTTGTTTTGTTAATGTTCTCATATCTTGGGCCCATGACAGCGTCTGACATGTGGTTGGCACTCAACACATGTTTACTAAGTCTTAAAAGAAATGTCCTCCTTCTCTATCCTAGAGTGCTAAGATTATACATCTTACAACTCCTTTTCACATATTTTCTCTTACTTTAAATATTACAGTAAATGTGTCTTCTTACCCTTGGGTGGACTGACTATCCTTGAGGGACAGAATCAGAGTTTATACAGCTTTAAATGCAAAGCACAGAAAACAGAAACTCAAGTTGCATTTCCTCTAAGAGCAATGTTTTCACAAGTTTTGTGTCGATTCCCCTGAGCTACAAAATCCACTCAAAGAAAAGAAGCCAACTCAGAAAAGCTTCTCTCTCCAACACTATGAAAAGTGCATTGGCTGAGCAAGGCAACCCAAAACATGGGGAGAAAGAAGGCTACAGCAGCCGGAGCAGGGAAACCTAAGGAGAGAGGATAATGAAGGATATCCAGTCTGAAGTTAGCCAGACACTGCCACCCAGGGAACTCCCTGCTCACAATGTAGCAAAAGTTGCTTCGATTTGAGAAATGACTACTTTTGGATTACAACTCTTACAGGCAGCTTGCTGTGTCAAGAAATCCGTTTGCCAAAAGGCAACTAACTGTTTCAGACAGTTTAATGTGTGTAACCTCTTGCTGAGGAGGTCCACTGCAAAGCTCTGACGTCTAACAATTTAGGGAAACCAACCTCCTGAGAAGTGAAGAAAGAGTAATTCACACAATCAATAAGTCAGCTAACTGAGTTTCTTCACCTCTAGAGCAAAGATCACTACTGACTATCACTATACATACAGGATCACCCAGTTACAAAAAAACTGAAATAAAGGGAAAATCCTGTGTTACTGCATACTGGGACACGAAAAATATATTTACCTTCTCTTCTGAGGAAATGGTAAGTTTGTCACTGGAGATTAAGCTGCACACTTGTTCTATGCCAAGATTCAGGAACTCTTCGCTGAGTACAACATCTGCAAAATGTTGTTCTATTTGGGATTAAAAGGAAAATCCGTTAATACCAAGACTCCATTATCAGAGTTTCAAACTGCTTAAAAAAAGAAGAGGTCACACGATCTAAGTATGAGAAAACCAACGGACTTCTCTAAGTTAGAACTAAGAAAACAAACACAAACTCAGAGACACCTTATCCTCTGAGTGGAAGTAAGGGGAGTGATCCTTACTTAAGTGATTTGTTTACAGTACAGCAAAGCAGAAACACAGGTAGGAAGGTTGCCTTAACATATACTTGCTTAGCTGAACCATTTGGTTTTACATAGTGATACTTTACAGTTAAACAGCCATCCCATATATAGTGACAAGAACATAAGTATTTAAGTTTGTAAAACCTTTTTTTTCATTTTTATATTTGTACGAGAGTCAGAATTTTACTTTTTTTTAAATTATGGTAACTATACAGGTAAATAAAACACTTGTCACTTCTACAATCTTCACATGCGCAGTTCACGGACAATGATGCTCAGCATGTTGTTCAACTATCACCATTAAGTGTTCCTGAATTTTCCCATCACCCAAAACCCCTTCTATTACATAAATCAGAAAAAGTACATGTATCGTAAGTCACACACTGGAACGTATCATGTAAAACATTACAGGGCTCCAGAACATTATGGAGTAATGAAGAACACCCTGCTTTATTTGAAGAGCTAAAAAAAATGTGTGTAACAATAACACTAATGTTAGGAATCATATTTTGAATTCTTCCTAAAGTGTCTTCTATCTGAAAAATAGTAAAGTATCCATTTGTAAAACCAGATACCTCTTCAGTGAACCACTGAAGCCTGTGGAGTCTTCCTCAGTACTGCCAGAGACATAATAAGATTTAGGGGCATAAGGGATCCGAAAGGTCATCTGACACAATCTTCACCGTATGTATGAGTATCCTCTAAAATGTTCATTGTAAGTGGTTATCGGACGAGTGTGCAAACATCAACAGGCAGCCACATCATCCTTGAATGACGGCTACTGGCGGAAAGTTCTTTATGTTACAATAAAATCTTTCTCCTTCTCATCTGTAACACTGATGCTACTTCTACCCATCACAGTAAAAACAACAAGATTAATTTCTCTCTCTTATGAAATTCCTTCAAAATTTTGCAGAGAGCATTATATTCTCCCAAATTTCCCTTCCTGGTCTGTATACTCCTAGATCGCTCAAGCATTTCTTGTAGGATATGCTTCTGAGTTCTCATCATCCTCCTGGCTCTGAATTCAGGACTTCAGTTCATCAGTCTCTCCCGAAAGGTGGTACCTGAAAATGAACCCCACTTCATAGATATGGTCTGACCTGGGCAGATGACAGTGAGATAATCACCTTACATCTTTCTGACCTGAAAATGAACTCCACTTCATAGATATGGTCTGAGCTGGGCAGATGGCAGTGAGATAATCACCTTACATCTTTCTGGACAGGCTAATTATTGATTCCTATTGAATACACTATCAACTAAAGTCCTCACATTTTGGACTAGTATGGTCAATATGAGCATAATCTTTATTACAAAACTGGGGTCAGAAATTCTTCCTTTTCACTGGACTCTTTCTTTGCTTACTGTACCTCAGTAAAAATCAGCAGCTACCATAAACTGGCAGTAAATATGCACACATGAAATGTGTCTACACATTTAAGAGGACGTGGAATGAGGGATATCACTGCTGATGTCAGACGGATCCTGGCTGAAAGCAGGGAGTATCAGAAAGATGTTTACCTGGATTTTACTGACTATGCAAATGCATTCAACTGTATGGATTGTAACAAATTATGGGTAACATACCAAAGAATGGGAATTCCAGAACACTCAATTGTGCTCATGAGGAACCTGTACATAGATCAAGAGAGGCAGTGGTTCAAACAGAACAAGGGGATACTTCATGGTTTAAAGTCAGGAAAGGTGTGCTTCAAGGCTGTATCCTTTCACCATACCTATTCAATCTGTATGCTGAGCAAATAATCTGAGAAGCTGGACTATATGAAGAACACAGCATCGGGACTGGAGGAAGACTCATTAACAACCTGCATTATGCAGATGACACAATCTTGCTTGCTGAAAAGTGAAGAGAACTTGTAGCACTTACTCATGAAGATCAAAGACTACGGCCTTCAGTATGGATTACACCTCAACATAAAGAAAACAAAAATCCTCACAACTGGACCAAAAAGCAACATCATGATAAATGGAGAAAAGACTGAAGTTGTCAAGGATTTCATTTTACTTGGATCCACAATCAACACCCATGGAAGCACCAGTCAAGAAATCAAAAGACACACTGCACTGGGCAAATCTGCTGCGAAAGACCTCTTTAAAGTGTTGAAAAGCAAAGATGTCACCTTGAAGACTAATGTACTCCTGACCCAAGCCACGGTGTTTTCAATCACCTCTTATGTACATGAAAGCTGGACGATGAATAAGGAAGGTCGAAGAAGAACTGACGCCTTTGAATTGTGGTGTTGGCAAAGAACACAGACTACACCAGAGACCGCCAAAAGGAGGAACAAATCTGTCTTGGAAGAAGTAGAACCAGAATGCTCCTTAGATGCAAAGATGGCGAGACTACATCTCACGTACTTTGGACATGTTATCAGGAGGGACCAGTCCCTGGAGAAGCACATCATGCTTGGCAAAGTAGAGGGTCAGTGAAAAAGAGGAAAACCCTCAATGAGATGAACTGACACAGTGGCTGCTACAGTGGGCTCCAGCATAGCAACAATTGTTGAGGACGGCGCAGGACCGGGCAGTGTTTCATTCTGTTGTACACAGGGTCACTATGAGTCAGAATCGACTCGACAGAAGCTAACAACAATGCATTTACCTAAATATACTGCTAAAAGGCAGGGCTTCTCGAAGATTAGTCGGCTTCTTCTACTCATCATACCTTAGAGGTAGTTTCTTGCTTTAACTCTCTCCTCTCTATCTTCACTGCTACCCTGGGTCTCACCCTGTTACCAGTCTCAATTATTGTTTCCAATCCTTTCACCCGTATGCTGACAGATTAATCTGCGTACAGAACACAGCTTTCGCGGACATTAATAGTTTGCCTTCCGTAGTTTATCAAAGTCCACTGAACCTAGTTACACTGGCATTCAACAATCAGTGCTTCTGTCTGAGCTAACACTATAACCGCAATAAGGCATAATTCCTAGTAGCATAAAACATGCCATGACAACACCACGAGACAAAAAAGCCCAGGAACCTGCAACATACATGAAACAGACACATTGTGTGTGTGTGTAAAATATACAATATACTACATATTCTTCCTTATACACATTAGGTAAGGATTCTCCTCACTCTGCAGAGCAGCTGAGCTTCCCCAGTGGCCTCCCTCCAGCAAATGAAATAAGCTGATTGTCAAGAAATGAAAGACAATCCCTAGAATCTGTCATACCAGGGCTACAGGCCACATCAGGTCAGGTCCCTCATCCCAAATTAAGTCCAAAGAAATTAACAATACATCAGTTGTTGATATATATAACAACTATATATGCTATAGATACACGTATCGATATATAACAACGTTTTGCTTATTCTGTTTTACGCCCTTAATAAGCTACAAAGGGCCCTTGATTTCTAAACACCTTGCATCCTTTTTACCAAAATTAAATCCCATGAGGGTCCCTATAATTCCTCTGTATTCGACGCAGTGCAGAATCCCATCTGAGACGTGAGGGTATGTGCACGGATAACAATCATATCTTAGACTCATGAACAGCCGACCCCTAAGACCAAGTGTTTTGGAAAAATAAAAGCATCTCTGGTTTTGATTCTCCCAATTTATAAAATGTGAGTGTTAGACTGGATGACTGCGAAGGTTCTCCGTAAGTGTAACACTCCGTGATTCTCTGGTTCTGAATACTACTAGTATCCAGGAAAAAAAAAGATTCCCATATATCCACCAGCACAGACAGTTCTGGGGAAACCTGAAAACAGCTAACTCATCTCAGATAGAAACACTGTCAACAGAGCAAGGCAGAAAGACTGCAGGTAGCTTATGAAGACACAAATGAAGACCATAATGAGCGCAAGAATATAAAAATGATTATTTTAAGAAATGTCATTTAAGGGGGCATGAATTCAGGCAAGACGTGCTGCACACCAAATGCTTTCACAGTTCTCCAAAGGAAGAATCTTCCATGTCAGTAAATTAACACTGCAATCGACCCTTAAATAATCAGCATCCATTCTTTAGGATGCACAGCACATAGTCGAGGCTCGTTGATACCATTATCAGTAACACTCTCTTGATACGCATTTCTTTCAAGGGGGCAGCTTTCAAAATCATGGGCTTATTCTGACGGATGTTTAGTCAGAGCAGCAATTCCTGGCCTAAATTATGCAAGAGTGGAAAATGACTGAAGTAAATTGATTACAGAAGAAAAGCCTACAGCAACTACCTCTACAGAAAATAAGGCATAAGCTGAAACACTTAATTTAGATGCGAGTTCACTACTGTTGTTGCTGTTAGGTGCCATCAAGTTGGTTCTGACTCATCAAAAAAAAAACCAAACCCGTTGCCATCAAGCCGATGCTGACTCATAGCGACCCTGTAGGACAGAGTAGAACTGCCCCATAGAGTTTCCAAGGAGCGCCTGGTGGACTTGAACTGCTGACCTTTTGATTAGCAGCTGTAGCACTTAACCAGGACAACAGGGTTTCTTACAACTCATAGCGACCCTACATACAGAACAGTAACAGTGCCCGGTCCCGCGCCGTCCTCACAATCACTGCTATGTTTGAGCCCATTGTTGCAGCCACCGTGTCAGTCTATCTCGTTGAGGGTCTTTTCACTGACTCTCAACTTTAACAAATATGATGTCCTTTTCCAGGGACTGGTCTTACAAAGTCTTTGTAAGCAGGGGCTAAAGCTTACAGAGCCCATCATCAGGAGCAACAAGGTGCAGAGGAAAAATACGACCTAGGTCAAAGGCAGAAGTATAGAAAGCCTAGAAAAAGCGGGCTGCAGAGAGAATGCTGGGGGCCGACAGCCGGCCGATACAGAACGGAGATGTGTGGCAGCGACAGAACAATCATCTAGAAGCAGTACCCTTCTACTCACCTTTCCAGTGAGTTACAACAGTGGGCCCTTAAAGCAGTTGGCCCCCAACATGCAGGCTTTTGGGGAAAACCAAGTTTCAGTTAAGACACACTGAACAGGGACACACATGAAAACAGTTAAGGATGCTGGAGAGGCCTGGGTAGGGTAGTTTTTACCCCACTGGGCCTGGAATGTATAAAGAGATAGCAGGGTTAATGGCAGGAAGAGAATGGGAAAGAAGCGGAAAGCATGGTCATGGCCGGGAAAGAGGAGGACTTCCTCATAGGTGGTCCTGTCACTGCGGGAGGCTGAGTGCTTACTGACCCAGATTGTCAGCTGGAGTACTAGTCTGAAAATGATACCGCAGATTTCCACCAAAGGCTGGTTAGAAGTGGTATTAACAAGCTTCTCAAATGTTCATCATGTAGGGTGGAGAGGCACAGAATGGCTAAGAACTGGACAAGATTTTCTCTCTTAAATTTGCTGAAAATTCTGGAAATTCAACTACTGGCAACTCTTGATTATCAACAAGGAAGGTTCATAAAATTTGTATTTCAATTTTACAGTTATACAATTTATATCTACAATATAAATTGTGCAATTTATAATTACAACTGAATTTCTGATTCAATTTTACTGGGACTGTTGAATGCTGATGAGTTCAATTTTTATCTTGTCTATATTTTTGATCATGAAAAATGCTAAAAGCAAATCAATGATTTGGAAAATGGCTAAAATACAGACAGCACTCCAACTTGAGAAACAGAGAGCTCATAAACCAGCCATTCTCTAAAGAAGTCAGTGTACTGGGAGTTAGTTGTCAAAATTTTCATTTTTAGGGATGAAGCAAAAAATAATTTCACAGAGCTTTCCAGCTAAGAAAAGAATCACTCAACGTATAAGTAAGGCAGACTATAGCTGAGAGCACCACGCCCCAGGTCATTTAGTCTGGTAGCCGCCCTCAGATGTCACCAGTTTGAAGCCACTCCGTGGAGAAGCGGCTGGGTCAGCGTGAAGGGCAGGGATGCCTGTGTCATGCTGCTGGAAAGAAGGGAGAGCCAGAATGAGCAGCGTGCTTCCACGCCCCTCCCATCACTCTCCCTCCCTGCTTCGTTTTTCACATTTTTATTTTCTCCAAAAATGATGACAATATTAAAAATAAGCATGAGTTCAATGAACAGATTTCCAGGGAAAATTTTTATTTTTTTACTGCACCTGTACAATTATAATAAATACTATAAATCGTATTTCCAATCGGCAAGAGAAAGGAAGGAAGCCGAATGAAGTCCGGAATCTCTGGTGAGTGTCTGATGAGGGGTGGGCACCTGAGTGTAGTCGAACCTTGGAACAGAAAGTACACCGAGACTATGAAGGTTTATTCCCTTTCCCACCCTTTCTCTCCCTCAGCTCCTCCTCTCCCTTCCTTCCTGACTCCTCTGTCGTTGCTATACATCTCCTTTCCCTCCATCACACCTGGACAGGCCTGTCACAGGTCCTCCTCAGCCTGGTGCTTTTATGGGGAAAAGAAAAGGCAGGGTATTAACCTCCTCACCGCGTTCATTACACTCTCCCGCATCTTCTCACATGTTATATTGTTGGACTTGGGTAGGTTTTTCTGGACACATTAAAAAACCTGTTGCTGTCAAGTCAATTCCAACTCATGGCGACCCTACCAGACAGAGTACAACTGCCTCATAGGATTTTGAAGGAGTGGCTACTGGATTCAAACTGCCGACCATTTGGTTAGCAGCCAAGCTCTTAACCACTGCACCACCAGGGCTCCAAGGTGCTTGAATTATTAAAAATAAATAGATGATAGATACGTACATTCATACATACACAGACATACAGAGAGACAGACACACAGACAAGCAAACTAGGTAAGAATTGTTTGTTTATAGCAGAAAAAGAGAGCTATGGGTATCCTCCTGCAGGGACCCTTACCGCATTACCACCTATTTGCTAAAGATAGAGAAGCAGCAACGGACGGTTCTCATTATGAAGAACAACTGTTTTATTATTATACTGGATTATTTATTTTAGAAAGTTTGTTACAACTAGTAGTCAAAATACCAAAGACATGAGATTAGCTTCCTAATACGAAGTTGGTCCCTGTAATTGTTTAGGATGAAATAATGACAGAATTTCTTTCAAAATAATGAGAATACAAAAATTCATCAAGCTGTAGACTTACGATTTGTGCACTCTTCTACATGTATATTAGACTTCAATAAAATATTTACATATAAAAATAGTAATAGGGAAGAAAGAAGTAGAGAGGGGTGTAGTTGAAACAGTTGAAAACTGTTAAGGTTGGATGATGGATACTATTCTAATTTTGGATGTGTTTGCAATTTTCCATTATAAAAAGTGTGTTAAAATGTTACCTATAAACCTAAGAAACTCAAGGAAATATAAAATTCAGAAATACGGTATGAAAACAGTACTTCCTTTAAGACTAGACCCTGATTTAAAATACAGTGAATTAAAAAAGAAGAATCAGTATTTCATTATAATTTGGTGGAAGTGACATTTTCTCCATAAAAAACTCTTGGCATAATTATGAGAAAGAAATCTATAATATAGAGGTATAGATATGGAGGTATTCTAATTCTGGCATAAATTGTTCGTACTTAATACTACAGTAAACTTAAGATTTTAAATAAGAGAAAAAAAATAAAAGGAAATGTATCACCTGGGGGTAAAAAAAACAACTGAACAAGCTAGTACTGATGTGAGTGCAGCTAGGAGCTCTATTACATTATATGAACTATGTTTTGACATCTTGTACATTTATCCTGCTTTATCCATCTCTCCTCACCCCTCCTCTCTCTCTCAAGAGTCACTAACTTTTATCAAGCACTATGGAGGCGAATAAGGAGCACTGGTGGTGCAGAGGTTAAGCACTTGGCTGCTAACCAAAAGGTCGGCGGTTCAAGCCCACCAGCCGCTCTTTGGGAGAAAAGATGTGGTAATCCGCTTCTGTAAAGATTTACGCCTTGGAAACCTATGGGGCAGTTCTACTCTGTCTTATAGAGTCGCTACAAGTCAGAATCGACTCGACGGCAATGGAGGTTTTTGGTTATGGAGATGACTGGCAACCTAAGAAAGGAACTGTGTTAAACAGCGATTGCTACATGCAGGAAAAAACTACCCAACATACACAAGCCTCCTTGCTGTTTTTCCTCACGTAAGTCACTTACAGTAGCTTCATCATATATAGCAGTTAATGGAGTTTGTATTTAGAAGAAATATTTTCTATTTAGCTGAAGAACAGAACGGGAAACACTGCCGCACATCAATGAATCCAAATTTGTCTTTGGTTCTCCGAACGCCTCACTCCACTCAAAGAACTTAGATGAACACCATCATATATTATAGGCATTCCCCAGCTTACAGACGGGTTGTATTCTAACAGTTCATCCCTAAATCAGATTTCTGAAACTCAGATCACATTTTCTCTCGGAAACAACTTTCTAAAAGTAGTTGGGTCATTAGGCCACCCCACGGAAATCTAGAAAACTCAAATTTACCGGACTACTCTGTTTTACTGAAGCACTGTGGTTTTTCAACAACCACAGGGACCTAAACCACCCTGTATCATTATTTCTTTGGTAAAATCAATAGGGATTCTAGGAATATTTCTCCTCCCCCGTGCACTGCACCCAGCCACTTCCTGCCAGCAATCTGTTCTCCTTGCCTGCGTAGGTGTTGGCCTTGTTCAGGAGGTCTGTGCATGCGTGCATGTCCGCAAAGGCCCGGATTCCTAAGCAGTTGACAGGATGAAGCTGGGATTCCAAAAATTCACAGCAAGTCTTCTTCACATCCTGTAACTGTAACAGACCAGCTGCTGGAAGAAGTACCTACAACACGAAAGGAAGCGTGATTAGGCAATGGGCTATTTACTGCTTTCAAAGCAGGATACAACAGGCCCAGCTACAGGTTATAACCGGTATCCAGCACCAAATACTCTATGGAAAAGAAGTGTAAAGATTATTTTCAAAAATAGCAATAGCTCCGTTCATTCTCCATAATTTCCATGGAACCTTTCAAAGGTACCTTCTTCTTGGTCACAAGAACATAAAAGCCATTGGTTCATATTATATTAATAGTCCTTTTTATAAGTATAAACAAAATGCTCCTTTGAATTTAAAGACACAAACTATTAGGATCTAGGGGGTGCTACAGTTCAAGGAGAATGGTTTTGTTTCCATAGTTCTAACAATCTTGAGCTTCACTGATTTGTGTGGAAGCACTTAGCTCAGGGCAATACGGACCACAGTAAAGCCTCATTTTGCTGAAGGCCCGCTGTTATTCTACTGTCTGGATAACACAACACACTGATTTCCTGAAGGGTAAAACAATTTTAAATTCAACAGTCTCTAGCTGCAAGCAGGCAGTTTCTCCAGAATGTAATATATGTGCTAAAAAGGCAAGCATAAAAGGTAATTTGCCCAATAATCACTTTTTAATCTGTATTTTTCTTTGAATAACTGAAGCAGTTTTATATTAATTATAGGTTAGATTCTGTGAGATTTTACCACGATTTTGCACTATAAGTGCTCTATTCAACACTACAACTGCTTTCCAAATAGGTCAATAACGGAAATTTTTTCTTTTGTAAGTAAGCTGGTAAGGTGCTATGTAGAGAACCCTATTAGAAAGTCAAATCAAGGAGGAAACCTTCATAAAGCAGAACTTAGTGAACATCTGCTGTTCCTTTATAAAGCCAGAGTGGGGGGCTTCTCAACTATTAGAACGACAGTCAATTTCAGAAAAGATCACATTAGCATAAAAACATAAATAAAACCACCTAAGTTTCTTTAGGAATTGACTTCCATAAACGCCCAGCTGCACCACAGAGGAATAAATACTGGTTTATAAACATCTTTTATAACAATTCAAAATCTACGTAATAAGTCTTCAATGCAAAAGAGCATTCCTGTCCTTCAGCAACACAAACAACTCTATTTTCTTACAAGAAGCTTTAGCACTCAGAGCAGGTGTGTGCACGTGTGTGTATACACAATCCAATGGTAATGGGTACCCTTAAGGACCAGGAGGGTGACTTCTTGTGTTCTCCCCAAAACCAGTATCAGTTTTCTCTGGAAAAATGGATACAATATTTAGGAAAAAATGTCTTTTCCTTCTAAATTAAAAAAAAAAAAAAAAATTGCAAAAGATTTAGTACAATCAAACCTTCTGCATAATATGTAGAGTGTGTTTCATTATGGTATGAGAATGAATCTCCACAGAAGGCTTTAGTTTGTTGGTAATTTGCAAATTGGAAGTTTTTCTACTCTGGTATAATTGTGCTCTGAAGTAACATAAAGTAAATTCCAAGATGTTTAACAGTGCAGCCATTTAATTCAGCAAATACATAGAGTTTAGAAAGTGGTCTTCAGTGTAATATTCTATCTCTGTGAAATCTGCATGAATAGTAATGATCTGCGGTCTAGTCAGTATTTTCCCAGAGACAACGGTGTTGTATGTTGTTGGTGGTGTTGTTAGGTGCTGTCAAGTAGGTTCTGGCTCATAGTGACCCCATGTACAACAGAACAAAAGACTGCCCAGTCCAGCATCATCCTCACAATCGTTGTTATGTCTGAGCCCACTGTTGCAGCCAGTGTGTCCATCCATCTCATTGAGAGTCTTCCTCGCTTTTGTTGAGCCTCTCCTTTACCAAGCATGATGGCCTTCTCCAGGGATTGGTCCCTCCTGATAATATGTCCAAAGTACGTTAGACGAAGTGTCACCCTCCTTATTTCTAAGGAGCATTCTGGTCGTATTTCTTCATTCTGTTGGCAGTCCATGGTGTATTCATTATTTTTTGCCAACACCACTGTTCAAAAGCATCAATAATTCTTTGGTCTTCCTTATTCACTGTCTAGCCTTTGCATGTATATGAGGCGATGGAAAATATCATGGCTTGGGTCAGGCGTATCTTAGTCCTCAAAGTGACATATAGTGCTATTCAAATTGCTTGGTAACAGAAAGACAGGGCTCCTGGCGGGGGGAGAGTTGAATGGAAATAGGTTCACTCACACATTGTTGGTGGCGGTGTACACTCGTTCAACCTCCATTAAGAGAAATTTGTCTATTTCAATCAAAATCACAAATGCAAATATCCTAACCCAGCAATTTAACCCACAGGTGTATTAACATGTGCCCAAAATCTCATATGTACCAGGACATTCATTACAGTATTATCGTAGGTAACAGCAGAAGTTAGAAAAGAGCCTAATGATCATGAGGTGACTGTTAAACAATTACAATCATTACACAGAATACTCTGTGGTCATTCAAAACAACAAGGCAGCTCTATACAAACATACACTTTATATTCTAAGTGAAAAAAAGCAGTGAACAGCACTTACGTCTCCACACCCCACATTCCATAAACATCCATTCAGAAGAATTACAGTAGAGGCTTTTTTATTTTGTTTTGTTTTATTGATTTCAACTTCATCACTACCAAGCCAAGACCTACCTTATCAGGAGACTGAAATTCATACAATCATAGAATCTCTGCTCTAGAAGGGACATAACAAGCCATCTAGTCCAGTCCAGGGCCATAAAAGTTATTTTAATAGTGGGCCATGTGACTAGAAATTCACATACAATTGTTTATCGATGGCAATGATGAGGCGTGGTTCTACGCCTGGCGGTTACATATTAACCAGACTTGAAATGTGAGTCAAATGGAGAAGAGGAGTTTATTCATGTTTTCCTATTGTCAGTAAATGCTTCAGAAATGCCTCGGTTTTATGATATGATTTTACCAGGACTAAACTTTGACAGCTTATAATTACATAATTAGTTGCACACAGCTTCAAAAACAATTATTAATTGACCTATCGTTGTTGTTGTTAGGTGCCGTCAAGTCGGTTCCGACTCATAGCGACCCAATGTACCACAGAACGAAACACTGCCTGCTCCTGTGCTGTGCTCACAATCGTTGTTATGCTTGAGCCCACTGTTGCAGCCACTCTGTCAATCCATTGACCTAGGCTTCACATATGACCCCTGGTGACCAAGAGTCACCCATGATGAAAACAGGAAAGCGGCTGAGGCCACACCAACTTCCTGTATTAGTTCGTGTGTTAGTTAGCTAACCAGTTAAGATAAAACAAAACACAATTGCTCCAATCTTCAGGTGAGCCATACTCCACAATCAGGACCGCTCACGTAGCTAGCAACCTCTGAGCTGGATGCTCTGGGATCAAATCAAACTTCCTAATTTGTCTGATGAGGAAACCAAATCCCAAAGAGGTTAAAAGACTTACCAAGTCACGCATCTCGTCAGCAGAAAGGTGAGATATAATACAACCTGCCAACTCTGTGGCCTACTGTTCTTTCCACTACCTTCAACTCTATCTCCAGATGCAGAATAGCAATGCTTGTCTATTTCTAAATCTCCAATGCTGTTCTTTTCAGCAAGAGTAATAAAGACAACCACTGCGCAGCAGTGTGTTCTTGTAGTTACTTCCATTTATTGAGCAATTGCCAAGTCAGGCACTGTGTTAAGCACCTGGCAGGGAATACCTCACTATCGGCATCATACAGAAGTGAATACAGAGGACAGGTTGCGTAACTGGCCCAAGGTCACACACCTGGTAAGGGACAGGTGACGCACCTGGCCAAGTCTTCTATGAGAGCAGTATAACCAAAGTGGGTCTGACACACAGGTAAATATTCTCATATTAATAGTTAGAAATATATTTTTAGGGCTACTTTCTATTTACTTCAATCACATAAACATCCCTTCTTAGGTAAATTTATTTAGGAAGAAAACTGAGTCGACGTAGAAAAAGCATTAAGTACGGAACAGCACTGGAAGGACAGGATAGAGCAAAATCATGAAGCTGGCAAACAAATGACTGCAATTTGCAGAACCCTGCTTTGGGAGATCAAATTTAGTATACTAATCTTTCAATATTTGATATTATTCTGATTCCTGTAGTTTTCATGTATCACTGAAAAGGAACAATATGCTTTAATCTGGGACTATCATAATCCCAGGGGTTAGTCTCTACTAAAGCAGATAAACTGTACTATTGGAACAAATGTACTGTTACTAGCAATGTAAAGAGGTGACTTCTTAATTTGCTATTTAGGGTCACAAAAACATCTCGCCCGTGGTTAACTAAAAGGTCTGGAGAATGAGTTTAAGTCTTCAGGGGAATTCCGGGCTATTACAGTACAGAAACAGTGGATGTGGGTACACTTAACCGTAAGTGTACAAAATGGACAAAATAAGTTTGGAAAGTGAACAAACAGGAAAAAACTGCTTATGTGGCTACACTTAGCTATAAGAATATTAATCAATTACTGTTAATTAACTAATTGTAGCGCTATTTAAATTATCAAAAATGGGGAAGAGCCCAAATGTCCAATAACTAGAGAGAGAGGAAATAAATTCTGTAATATCAATAAAATTGAATACGTTGCAGCTATTGAGATATATAGTAGATAAATATTTAATGACTTGGAAAAGTGGTCCTAATGTCTTAAGTATAAAAATCTAATTTCTAAACAGAATATACAGTTCAATCTCTTTTTTTGTAAACACACATACACATAAATTGAGAAAAACAGTATCAGAAGAATATACCCCAAATGTTAACAGAGCTTATCTTTGGTTCATGGTAGGGTGGAGGCTTTTTATTTACTTCCTTAAATTTAAGTACGTGTATTTTCGAAGTTTTCTTTAATGAATATGCATCATTTACATGGTCACGTATTATTTCAAGGAGGAGTCAGGAAGAAGCCAGTAGAGGCATGCCTTCTGGATCTCTAGAATTCCGGCCAAGGTAGCAACAGGAAAAGCCAGACGCCAACCAGTTGATGCCAACTCACAGCA